TTTCTTATCCGAGCCACCTCAAAATTCTCGTCTTTCCCACTGATAGAAATCCTTATTTGGAGACCCATCACCCGGCCCTGCGAATTTGTTTACAAATATTTTTAAGCCCCCTAAGCTGACAATTGGAGTCAGATTTGTTTTAATGAAAGAAATAATATACGATGAACAGTAAGTATGTTTGCTTAATTTCACGGCTCCTTGAACGTCCCACTGGCTAAAACTGCTAAAACTGCGAAAACTGCTAAAACTACTAAAACTGCAAAAACTGCTAAAACTACTAAAACTGCTAAACTGCTAAAACTGCTAAAACTGCTAAAACTACTAAAACTGCTAAAACTGCTGAAACTGCTTAAACTGCTTAAACTGCTAAAACTACTAAAACTGCTAAAACTGTTAAGACTGCTAAAACTGCTAAAACTGCTAAAACTGCTAAAACTGCTAAAACTACTAAAACTACTAAAACTACTAAAACTGCTAAAACTGCTAAAACTGCTAAAACTGCTAAAACTACTAAACTGCTAAACTGCTAAAACTGCTAAAACTGCTAAAACTGCTAAACTGCTAAAACTGCTAAAACTACTAAAACTGCTAAACTGCTAAAACTGCTGAAACTGCTGAAACTGCTGAAACTGCTAAAACTGCTAAAACTGCTAAAACTACTAAAACTACTAAAACTGCTAAAACTGCTAAAACTGCTAAGACTGCTAAAACTGCTAAAACTGGTGAATCTTGCTAAAACTGGTGAATCGGGATAACTGTGTATTGTAATTCAGCTTATTTGAAACTACATTTGGTGTTATATATTTGCAGAAAAAAAATGAGCCCTTGCCACAAACTCTGATTTTAAATACCAATATATTTGCAACTAAAGGTTTAAACTATCCCGTTGAAAAGAAATAGGAGTTTGTGAACTCAGCTCCCTTAAAAGGATTCAAGAATGAAATTGTGTGGTTCTTATAAATATATTTTTGACAGATTATTACTGGTTGGTAGAGCACTAACATTAAACTAAAATAAAATCAAAACATAATTTGTCAATTCTCCATATTGTTAGAAATATTATAAATCATACAGTCTCACACAAACACGGTCTTTTTAACATTATCAAAAATTATATCTTAATTCAAAATTTTATAACTTATTGATAATAAATTTCTTTGCCGTTGATAAAAAACTTATTTAAGAGCTAATCAAATAAATTTTACTTGATTTGATTTTGATTATGAACATTGTCTGTTTACTTAACACAATATTCAAACTATATATCATCTTGATCCTTAACATGATCTTGATCCTTAACATGATCTTGATTCTGAACATGATCTTAATTCTGAACATATTCTTGATTCTGAACATAATCTTGATTCTAAACATAATCTTGATTCTAAGCATAGTCTTGATTCTTAACATAATCTTGATTCTGAACATTATCTTGATTCTGAACATTATCTTGATTATAAAAATAATCTTAATTATGAACATAATCTTGATCCTTCATATCATCTTGAGCATAAACATGATCTTGACTCTAAACATAATCTTTATTCTGAATATACATGATCTTGATTCTGTACAAGATCTTGATTCTAAACATGATCTTGATTCTAAACATGATCTTGATCCTGAATATGATCATATTCCTTTAAATATTCCAAATAAGTAATTATACTCCTGATCCTATTCTTGATACTGATACCTGTACGTACCTCCCCCCCCCTAACCCCTACTCTCTTTTAACCTCCTCTATATCCATACTATCTATCCACCGTATCCCCCCATCCTTCTCCAAATTTTTGACTTATCTTGTACAAAGTTTAGAGTTTACTAGAACCGTCGTATGCTCTGCCGGGTTCAAGGGAAATCATTTAAACTTAAAGGGAGTGTTCGCGAAAAATGAAAGGGGGTATAGGCTTAGTGCGATAAAAAAGCGCTTTTGATCGCTACTAATCTTACTTCTATCTGTTGCGTCTATAAGGAGAAAATTGTTAAAGACGTCATACACCGAAGAACGTAGCGGCCATGCAAATTGAGAAGATTGCAACATACGACTTAGACCGTGCAAAAATCATTTTAATTTCAAACAAATCATTCGGATATTACAACCTATAGTCATCGATTATCTTTCGCCACATTTGTATATAGTTTATGTTTTATAATATTTTTTTATTAATTTGTTTGTTTCTCTTATCGCTTGCGCAACTATCTAAGAATGCCGCACACCAATCACAATTTTCGAAATCCTTTGAAAACGTTTTCTAAAAAAATAAAAATATTATAAAATATAAACTATATACAATTAAGGAATTTTAAAACACAGTGCCCTGAAATTTTTTTAACTTGAACCGACATTATTTTTAAAGAATTTAAGAAGAATTTCAAAATCCGGTTTTAATGATTTACCACAAATGCGCCAAAAAAACATTAGGCATAAACTAATGATTACATATTCTAAACCCTCCTTCAAAAAATTATTAATGATTTAGACTTCAAATACATTTAATTATATATATCCAGATTTTTTTTTCAAAACTTATGTTTGATTCAAATAAAGGAATTTTTTAACTTTTTCACGAAAATATTTAGAAAAAAATATTTTCTCAAATAGTATTTGATAAAAATTATATATCTATATATTTATATAGATCAGGTATTTAAAGGTTATTTTGATGAAATAGTTTGCTTGTAAAAACTGTGATTAGAAAAATAAAAATTCTTGAAAAATTTATAACATGGAAACATGCTACCTTTATTTTCCAGCTAAAGGATTCATGCTACCTATATTTTCCAGCTAAAGGAATCATGCTACCTATATTTTCCAGCTAAAGGAATCATGCTTCCTTTATTTTCCAGCTAGAGGAATCATGCTACCTTTATTTTCCAGCTAAAGGAATCATGCTACCTTTATTTTCCAGCTAAAGGAATCATGCTACCTATATTTTCCAGCTAAAGGAATCATGCTTCCTTTATTTTCCAGCTAGAGGAATCATGCTACCTTTATTTTCCAGCTAAAGGAATCATGCTACCTTTATTTTCCAGCTAAAGGAATCATGCTACCAGCTAAAGGAATCATGCTACCTATATTTTCCAGCTAAAGGAATCATGCTACCTTTATTTTCCAGCTAAAGGAATCATGAGTCTTTATCATCCCTACATATACGCAACCCAATATCGCTGACATTAGATATTTCAAACTATGATTTCCGTTAAATCAAATAGTTTATGTTTGATGATAATACTTAATTTTTATTTTCTCAACCTACTCCTTAACAACTAATCTGTTTACTGTAAAATATTTTGTTATATTTTTTGTGGTCGTCATTGAATATTAAATAAAACCGCTTATCAAAATCATCCCTTCAAGATAGACAGTCAATGAGGATTTTAAACATTGCATTTGCGCTCTTGCTGAACAAATAAAAACCGCAAAAACATCTGATAGATTCTAAAAAAAATCTCAATATTACTGCAATTTCAGTTCAACTACCATACATTGCCGGTCACTCCCTTTAAGAACACGTCCCTGAAAACTAGACACTAAACAACAAGTACTTAACACCAGAAGCTAGACACTAAACAACAAGTACTTACCACCAGAAACTAGACACTAAACAACAAGTACTTAACACCAGAAACTAGACACTACAACAAGTACTTAACACCAGAAACTAGACACTAAACAACAAGTACTTACCACCAGAAACTAGACACTAAACAACAAGTACTTACCTGCACCTAGGGATGTTAACGTTTTCATTTTTCAGAAAAACGATCGTTTCGTTATGATAAGGACGATTAAAAATCGAAAACGAAACGATCGTTTTTAAAAACGATCGTTTTTTAAAAAGTTCGTTTTTTTTAAAATGGTCGTTTTTAAAACGATCGTTTTTCAAAACGCTCGTTTTTAAAAACGATCGTTTTTCAAAACGATCGTTTTTATAAAATTCGTCGTTTTGTTAACGATAGTTAACGACGGACCTTCGTTAACGATCGTTAACGACGGACCTTCGGTAACGATCCTTAACGACGACCCTTCGTTAACGATCGTTAACGACGAACCTTCGTTAACGATCCTTAACAACGACCCTTCGTTAACGATCGTTAACGACGACCCCTTCGTTAACGATCGTTAACGAAGAAAGGAAACCGACCTGAAGGGCATCTGTTCTTATCATTGAGTAGTTTTTAAGAAAATATCAAGGAGTTTTAACTCCCCCACAACTGTTAAACTTCATGTAAGACGACATTCAATAAAGTTTCATGTAACTTTTTTCCAAAAACAACCGTTATGATAAAGTTCGTCGTTTCGTTAACGATCGTTAACGACAACCCTTCGTTAACGACGACCCTTCGTTAACGATCGTTAACATAATTGTCAATAAAAAAAATTTAAAAACGATCGTTTTTTCAAAAACAATCGTTTTTTTAAAAACAATCGTAAAAAACGATCGCAAATCGTTTTAATAAATACGATCGTTTTCAAAACGATCGCTATTCGTTTTCTAAAAGTTCAAAACGAGTGGGTCGTTTTTAAAAACGATCGTTTTTTTCTGAAAACGAAACGATCGTTTTTGAAAACGAAACAAAAAACGATCATTTAACGATCGTTTAACGATCGTTTACAAAAACGATTAACAAACCTACCTGCACCAGAAACTAGACACTTACCAACAAGTACTTACCACCAGAAACTAGACACTAAACAACAAGTACTTACCACCAGAAACTAGACACTAAACAACAAGTACTTAACACCAGAAACTAGACACTTAACAACAAGTACTTACCACCAGAAACTAGACACTAAACAACAAGTACTTACCACCAGAAACTAGACACTAAACAACAAGTACTTACCACCAGAAAGTAGACACAACAGATAATATACAATTTCTATACATTTTTTAAAAATAATACATAATTAATTTTAATTTTTCACAGCGGTGTTAAGCTACTTGTTATCTTTACAGTTAATGTTCTTATCTAAACTATTTCTCTCCTTCAAATGTCGTGTTTTATATTTACATTATTAATTAGTCATTATTTTATTATGTTCAGCACAACATTACTTCTACTCATAGGCAACAAGTTCATCTAAAAAACAGTTACTGTGAACAAAAAATGTTAAATATCTTCTTTAGGATTTTGATACTGAAAAATATCATTGAATTTTACAAAAAAATATTGATTATTAAAATTCAAAATTGTTGAAATCAAGCTTTAATAAAGATTATTCTTTTTTCTTTTGTTTCATAAAACCTCGAAAAAGGAATTTCTAATATCTTAAAAATACTCACAGAACGTATAAAATCAACCTGTCAAAAAAAATTTTTTTTAACTGCTTCAAATGTTCTCTCGTTAAAATTACATTTAAACATTTTGGAATAATTATCTGGGGGAGTTCAAAATAGAGGTTCTTTTTACTTCCTCGTTCTTGTATGTATTCTTATTCGTATTTTCAGCTTTAACCCTCCACTTTTTGGGAAAATGTGGGCTAGGGGGAGGATGAGCCTGAGGGATCGGATCCGGGGAGGGGAGCTGTTTTATTTTTTCCTGAGTTTTATACAATTAGACTTTTTTAACCCATTTGTTTCATGAATGGTTGCAAAACTCGAACGTACTCGTTTTTATATCTGAGTCTGAACTTGATATTCACAGCGTAATTCAGGGAGAAATTTAATTTCTTGGTAACTTTGAAAAGGTTACCCCGAACTAACCAAAGTGAGCAGCATTCGGTTTCTTCTATTTTGAAATCAAACTTGTTTTGGTCTATAATTCAACAATCTTTTAACTTACGGATTTGTTTATTTCTATACTTTTTCATTCAAAATGTATATGCCGACAAAAATATATTTAAGAACAAAGGCTAAAATATTAATTTTGTTTAATGGGTCAAATTGAGATCAAAAGTCACAGCTTTCTGGAATATTGGCAGAACTGTTAAATCCACGTGCAACAAGAAAGCCTGTTTAAGATATATTTGATGATCAGCAGGGAATCAAGAAAAATAGAAAAAAGACTTAACGACGCCCCTCTCGAGTTTTTTTTGGCCTCGCACTTTAATTTTGACAATTAAAATAAAATTTGATACATATAGGCTGGGGTACAGGACAGTAAAAAAACTTTTTCCGATGACAGCTACAGATCTAAAAAATACATTAGAGAATAGCTCTTGAAAAATGAATGGAAAAACATATCTTAACATTTGTCAAAAACGAAAATGTATTTTTTAAATTTTTCCGACCATTTTTTTACAGCATCCATAATATTAAAGTTAGCGGTCTAATTTTTTTTATGAGCTGACCTTGAAAAATTAGGCTTTATAAGCTTCATTGCAATTTGCAACCCTATATATATCTTTACTCTTAGCCTTTTTCTAGGGATCCCCTCCCCGGCGTTACTAAGATTCCCACCCATCAGCCATAATAGGGTCAATAAACTCGGTACATCGTCTCCGAAGTCTCATCCGTTATGGGTAATCTTCAAAGGATGGATTAAAAATTTAAAAGTGTTTACCTCTAGTTTGATGAACTATAGTCTAATAAAGGAGTAAACCTGGTCTTGTCTCAAAATATAAACCTTACCTGTGATCTGGAAAAATGCTTAGGAAAAGTAGAAACAAAATTAAACTAAGGAATCTTTAAAGGGACTGTTAACGTTTTTAAGTGATCCTTAAAACTTTTGCCCGAGTAACAATGAGAAAGATATAGTTGTTTAAATGTTGCAAAATCCCTAATTAATTAATTAATTAATTAATTAATTTATTTATTTATTTATTTATAGAAACAAATTCATTCAATAATTTTTTCCAGACAAAGATTTAACGAGTCTTTTAATCTGTACATAAGTCAAAACTTTGTGTGGAATATCGTTAATTTTGAACAATTGATCTCGATATTCAATGGGGCACTTTTAATATGCTTGATTTCTCATATAAAGCTATCACTTCAAGATATGACCATCCACGGTATATCGAAGATGCATATATCGAGATCAAGCTACTTAATTCTGAGATTGACAACACAACAGTTCTGACTTCTGATTTAAATGTTAAAAAAGTCAATTTTTTTAGTTTGAATTATAATTTCGATTTTTTTTTGCCTTGATTTTCTACCTGAATTCAGAGCCAAAAAGAATAGATACAAGTTTACCTGAGACAAGGTGAGAGCGATTTTTCATAAAAATAGTTTTGCAGAGTAACATACAGTGTCAGGTAAAATAGAAAACAAAAAGAAAAAGAAAATTAAAAAAAGAAAAAAAAGAAAAAAGAAAAAAAGAGTAAAAAGAGAAAAAGAGTCAGTATTGAGTCGAAGTTGGGAAATCAAATTAACATTACTTGACAAAGTACACAGCGATCCAGAATTAACATTACTTGACAAAGTACACAGCGATCCAGAATTAACATTACTTGACAAAGTACACAGCGATCCAGAATTAAAATTACTTGACAAAGTACACAGCGATCCAGAATTAACATTACTTGACAAAGTACACAGCGATCCAGAATTAAAATTACTTGACAAAGTACACAGCGATCCAGAATTAAAATTACTTGACAAAGTACACAGCGATCCAGAATTAACATTACTTGACAAAGTACACAGCGATCCAGAATTAACATTACTTGACAAAGTACACAGCAATCCAGAATTAACATTACTTGACAAAGTACACAGCGATCCACAATTAACATTACTTGACAAAGTAAACAGCGATCCAGAATTAACATTACTTGACAAAGTACACAGCGATTAGAATTAATATTACTTGACAAAGTACACAACGATGCAGAATTTAATCAAAAGTTACATCACTGGGTCGTCTTTGAAGGACACCTTGACCTTTAATTTTATCTCACAATCTCCTTATACTTTTTTGTAGGCACAAACATGTACATTGTAAAACTTGTGTTTAGCTTTAGCTACAATTGAAAGATGAAATAATTGGCTTAAATTGTGTTAGAGCTTGCAACCGTTGGATCACAGTTCAAGTAAAGATAAATATCTTTTTATTTAAACATTTTATCATGAATTGCCACCCAGTAATTCTATTAAGAGTCTGCAGTGCATAATGTTTGTATTCTAGTATACATATGTGGAAAGTTTATACTAAATGAATAACTCATCTCGCTGGAAAATGAATCATGAAATGTTAGCCGGGGAAATAGGGGGGGAGGGGACAATTGGAAAAATGATATGAAGTTGATAAGGAATATTGTATTTGAGGTTAAAATCGTTTTTCTCATCAAATAAGAAATCCGCGAACAATATAATAGAAAACCTCAAACCAGGAGATTCGGAGAAAAAAAACATGAAAAGAGCTGATCATCCCAAGACTAATAGTATACTCTCTTTATATAGCTGAATAAAAAGGGTAAAGCCTGAAAATATAAGGGATTATGGAGATTTTTTGTATTAATTTTAGAAAGAAGTTTCTGTATATTTAACATGAAGAGTTTAACAAGGGTTTAAACTATTCAAGTTTCAGAAATTCAAATTTAACAAACTGGCAATTAGTCTCTCATCCTGTCAAGACACTGGTAATGCACAATTTGACAACTTGACAACTTTATAACTTGACAGCTGTGACAACTTGACAGTTGTGACAACTTGACAGCTGTGACAACTTGACAGCTGTGACAACTTGACAGCTGTGACAATTTGACAGCTGTGACACCTTGACGGCTGTGACAACTTGACAGCAATTTGAAAATTTGACAGCTGTGACAAATTGACAACTTGACAACTTGACAACTTAATTAGTTGGCAACCTGACAATTTGATAACTTGATAACTTGGCAACTTCACAACTAGATAACTTGGAAACCTGACAGTTTGATAACTTGATAACTTGATAACTTGGCAACTTGACAATTTAAAAGATTTTGACCATTTTAGATCTGACAACTTTTCATTAAAAAGTTAGCAACGTGACCATTAGAGAACTTGACAGCCTAGAAACCTGAAAACATGGCAACCTGATAACTTGGCAACTTAAAAACTTGGCTATTTGAGAACTTGACAATCTGATGGCTTGAAAATTTGACAACTTGACAATTTACATCCCTTATATATTCAGGGTGGATGGGTGCGAAGATCATCTTGTGGAGATAAATATAAAACCTCTTCAGGGGCCTCAATTCTGCTCTATCAGGTTAATTTAATGTTTCTAATATATAACTAATATATGTTCATCTAATATCTATTTTATTTATATATTTATATATTTTCAAACACAAAATGCAAAATAGTAATGTATGATGGTTCAGCTTAAAATAAAACACGAAAGAAAATTTATGCTTATCTAATATCTATCTAATGTATGTTTATATATATCTATCTATTTATTTATTTAATATTTATCTAATCTATGTTTATGCAACATCTATCTAATCTATGTTTATCTAATATTTATCTAATCTGTGTTTATCTAATATCTATCTAATCTGTGTTTATGTCATATCTATTTAATGTGTGTTTATCTAATATCTATCTAATCTGTGTTTATCTAATATCTATCTAATCTATGTTTATCTAATATCTATCTTATTTATGTTTATGTAATATCTATCTAATCTGTGTTTATTTAATATCTATCTAATCTGTGTTTATCTAATATCTATCTTATGTGTGTTTATCTAATATCTATCTAATCTGTGTTTATCTAATATCTATCTAATCTGTGTTTATCTAATATCTATTTAATCAATGTTTATCTAATATCTATCTAATCTGTATTTATGTAATATCTATCTAATCTATATTTATCTATAATATCTATCTTTTTATCTAACTTTCTATCTAGTTATCTATCTATCTATCTATCTATCTATCTATCTATCTATCTATATATCTATATATATCTTTCTATCTATCTATATATATATCTATCATTATATCTATCCATCTGTCTATCTATTTTTGTTTATCTGCTTGTTCTCCTATCTGACTACCTATATTTTTTTCCTATGCATCTATATTCCTACCTTTAGTAAAGTTTTAGTTTAGAAATTTAAAAATTTAAAAATTCAAAAATTGTTTTTTTAGAATTTTTATTGGCTTTTTAGAATTTTTTATATTATATTCAGAAATAAACTTAGAAATTCACTTATTTTAAACATTATATTTCATTAAGATTTATCAGGAAACCTAGGTTGACTATATTTGTTAGTTTGTTTCTTCAACTACTGAGTATTAATGTTGATATATGATTGTTTAGTTTGGTTGATTCTTCAACTACTGAGTATTGATGTTGATATATAATTGTTTAGTTTGGTTAATTCTTCAACTACTGAGTATTGATGTTGATATATATTTGTTTAGTTTGGTTAATTCTTCAACTACTGAGTATTGATGTTGATATATATTTGTTTAGTTTGGTTCATTCTTCAACTACTGAGTATTGATGTTGATATATATTTGTTTAGTTTGGTTGATTCTTCAACTACTAAGTATTGATGTTGATATATATTTGTTTAGTTTTGTTAATTCTTCAACTACTGAGTATTAATGTTGATATATATTTGTTTAGTTTGGTTAATTCTTCAACTACTGAGTATTGATGTTGATATTTATTTGTTTAGTTTGGTTGATTCTTCAAATACTGAGTATTAATGTTGATATATATTTGTTTAGTTTGGTTGATTCTTCAACTACTGAGTATTAATGTTGATATATATTTGTTTTATAGTTTGGTTAATTCTTCAACTACTGAGTATGATTATATATTCTACTATGAGGATTCAATTAGTTCTCCAAGGGTAAGCTAAAAATCAGGGGCATAGTCAGGAATTTGTTCAGGGGGGCCTTAAATTTTGTTTTCTTTCCATTCGTTGGAGCCTGAAAATGCCCTGAAATCCGTAGATTTCACTGGTCCAGGGGGGGCTTAGTTCTCATTGCCTTTCTCTGACCACACCTCTGCTAAAAATGAATTATAAAATGGATTATTCAACTTTTCAATTTTTGCACAATAGAGATCACGCTCATAACAGTCATCCAAGGTTTGTATCGACACCTCGGATGAAACTGTGCTTTTTGCCGATTATTTTCTTATTTTCGAGCATTTTTTCTAGTAGTCAGGACATATCAGTTTTTTAACACATTTAGTAGAAATCCATTTGTTGAAATAAACTTATTTAACTGATTTATTCTCATTGGCTGGATGCATTTGGAACGGCTAATTACAAGTTCTCTTCTGGTAGCAAAAGTCAATTTAAAGACGACTTTTGTCTTCTGGGGAAGTCTGTCTCATTGGTAAAAAGTTATATTTGACAGTACGTGGTGGGTCTCTGACTGCTTGACTAAAATGTACAAAGAAATTGTGCAAAATATGACAAAAATATATTTTGATTTTGCCATTTTAAATATGCAAGAATATTTTGCTCTTATAAAGATATTTAATATCGTTTCAAATGGTTTTCCTTTGTAACCGCAAATATAAAGAAACGTAAATTTTTTAGATGTTTAATGTATAGAGATGCATTTATAAGTTTATTCTCTTTTTCTTTGCATAGTTTAGCATTAACAAGTGGTTAAATATTAGTTGTTGTGGCGTTTCTGCTTATATACTTCGGCTTAACTAATTATCCATTTTTATTTTATATTTATATAGGTTTTATATTCTCTCTCCAATATTGTCTCTCTGAGGTTTGGGTTGAAATCACCAGAACAAACATGCACGTTAGATGTTACAGCTAGGCAGGATAAACGTTCACTTAAACTGGTTTCTAAGTATGGGTTCCAACGCAAGTGGATTTTACTTTCGATCAAATGCGAGTCCCGTAAACTCCGCGCATTTTCGCACAATTCAAACACAGTTGGAAACCCTATTTCTAAGCCATCAAAGTCCAAGTACGCCAAAAGAGAACAAAAAGAGATAAAAGAAAGGAAAAAAGGAAAGCAATACGAGTAAAATGGAAATAAAATGGCTGCAATGCAACCCAAAAATCTAACAATTTTGTTACAAAAATTTGCTACATTTAAAACTCATTTTTGGAGCAGGAGAGATTAAAAACTAAATTCTTGCTTTCATCTCGGCTCTTTAATTCCCTCAGGCCGTGGTTTCCATCATTCATAGACACGCTCCATCATTTACAATTTTTATCTTAGAAACCTTTTTACCCCTTCCCGCGTCTTATCTTCTAGAAAGTCCTAAATTACAATAAAACATATTAAAAGGACTGTTATACAGGTCGTGAGGACGGACTCTATGAAAACACGGTGAAATAATCCAATATATATTTGAGTCTAAATAGAACAAGGATTCGAGTTTACAATCACTGTTTATATATAGAAAAATCACATTCTATAAACTTTTAGAAAGATCCGAGCCCCCGTCTTGTTCCCGAGTCTGGATGTGGCGATATTCTAAGGAGGCCGATAGTCGTCTTCCACACTGTAGGCTTAATGCCAAGTCACTCTATATGCAAAGATGGCAATTTACAACTAAACACTTGAAACCATAATCTGATAAAAAAAAATGTGGAAGATATCGTTGTTTTCCTCACCCAAAGAGTGTTCAGTTTTGATAATTTCTCCATTATTTTATATAACTTTATAAGCAATAAATATGCAAGTCAGTTTTGCAGAGAAACTGCAAAAAAAGACAATTCAAAGAAACAAAACATGGATAACAAGTTCAGACACAGCTTTTAAGGACTTTGCAATCTTAAGCCAGGAGGGTCACTTGATATCACGCTTACAGTCCCTTTAGCCAGGAGGGTCACTTGATATTACGCTTACAGTCCCTTTAGTTTGTTTAAACCAACAAATAGTTATCAAAGATTTTCTTTAAACTTAAACATTTTAGATTTTCTTCGACAGGTTATAATCTGAAGAGTGAACACCATACAAAATATTAAAGTTTTTAATGATAAAAGTTTTCAAGCTAATTTTATATTTTCAGCCGTATGCATACTTCAAAGTAGCGGGGGGTCATGGGTAAAGTAAATTCATGGTCCTGTTAAAAAGTCTGTGAATCCTTCCCTTTGGAACCCATTTTCATCAGTTAAATTGAGATTTGTCATTCTTTCTATAAGATATTTTTGTTGTATTATATTCTAGATATTTAAGTATTTGGTATTTTCAAGAAAAAAATTGAATTAGAGATCCAAAAATGATTATAAATAAGTAAGAGTCGATTTTAATTTTAAATTTAATTTTAAAGAGCTGTTTAAAGAAAAAATAGATCCAAAAAGGTCACTAGAAACTAGAAAGACCGACAATCAAATCTTCCAAATATATCAAGAGTGATTTCAAAATATCCGTCTGAAAACTTCGCAGAGATTGGTTAATTATTCAACTGCAGTAAGAGACAAATATAATTGGTTTTTCTATTCAAAATTTAGCAGAGTCCTGTAAAAACTCGTTTTTAGCTATAAATCAAAAAATTCATAATTATCAAAAAACAAAAATGTGGACAGTATTCAGAGGCTTTTGATACATCTTTTGATACTCATACCGATATATTTTGAAGAAAAAAAAGTTCTTAAAATAGTTAGGCGCATAACTTACACCTCTGGAGTCTGACTATTTCAGTGAAAACTGTTCACAGAGTTGAGGAGTTATCAAATCACTAATGAACACTGACCCACCCCCCCTGGAAAAATTCTAGTTTACGCCCCTGAAGGGGAATAGGAAACAGGATGTGAAGAGAAAGAGAAAGAGGAAAAAAAGATTCATACCTAGTGGTAAATTTAAGGAAAAATCAACTTTTTTGCAAACCGGAAACTGAACTTTTATCCCAAGATGTGCTCCTAATGATACAAACGAGAACAATTTTGATGGATTTGGTTCTGGATTAAAAACTGTAAACTTTACTCCCAACCTTGTTCAATCCTTCACATTCAATAATACAGATAATATACATAACTTGAGCACTGTCTCCACCCTATCTTCCCCTTTGTCAGGTAAATTATTAGTATAATTCCCGGGGACAAAAACTCAGATTTGCTAACCTCTATATCTTTGCAACTTGATGGTGAAAACCTTTGATATTTCAAATTTTGATCTAACTGAATTCATTGTTTTTGAAATAGCTAAGGGCAACAACATTCGTTTGCAAAGATGTAGGGATTAGATTGCAGATTAAAGAGTTGCAAATATATAGGGATTAGATTGCAGGTTAAAGAGTTGCAAAGATATAGGGATTAGATTGCAGGTTAAAGAGTTGCAAAGATATAGGGATTAGATTGCTGATGAAAGAGTTGCAAAGATATAGGGATTAGATTGCAGATTAAAGAGTTGCATAGACTCAATTCCGTTCACTGTGGTTTAAAGGTCTCAAGCTCTTAAGCAAAAATCTATGAGAAATTTTCCAATTACTTCTTAAAAACCAAAGCTAACAACAAGTGCTTTATAGTGCTAAAATGTACATGTAAAGGGCTACAAAAAAACATAAGTGAGTTGCGAAACTTCAAAGTCTACCCTGTCTAAAAAATTGATGAAACTTGTTTATATGCCGGCAAAATATATTTCCAATTGATTCCCAATTACGTTGGCAATCAAATTTAGAGTTTGGTGGGAGGAGGTATGCACTAGTTTTGCTGAATCTGGGATATGAACTGGATTCAAACTGTTGTTTTTGAGAAAAGGAATTGAGTCTTTTAACAAACTCTGATCTTCAATTCCCTAAAACTCTGGAACCCAATGTCGTAGACATTAAATATTTCAAACTATGAACCCTGTTAGATTAAATATTCAAAGTTTGAAATATCAAACGTTTATATCATCAGAATGCAAGGATATAGGGATACAAAAACTTAAGTTTGTGGCAAAGACTCAATTCCTTTACCTCTAGTATGACCGGAAGGGATAAAGTTTGTAAAACAACAGCGGTTCCTTTAAATATCATATTAATCTTATACTAAACTGCGCTTCTACACTAACTCGTGTATTCTGCTCTCAATTCGAATTTTAAAAAAAGCACTATTAACTCTCCAAGTACATATACCGGTCTTGAATACTATATATGTAGTTCTATTTTTGAATCACTGAAATTATCAGAAAAGCATAGTTAAACAATATTTTTGTAATTTAAAACAATTTCTCGGAATGCATTTTTTTCGACGGACGATATTTAAAATTTTCAGAAAATTTTAACTTTTAATTTGACGAATGAATTGATGATTTTAACTATCTCTAGATCCGGAAATAATTAAATAATGAAATAATTATCAGTTTCCTAGAAGTTTATGTTTAGATTTGATAAAGGTTCTCGTAAATCAGGCAACAGTAATTTTCACAAATTATTAAGACATTTCATTAAATTAATTATTCGTTGTAATCAAATGCAACAGTATCAAACTCGAAAAAGTTTGCAAAGGAGTTGAGTTTTTGCCACAAACTTTGATTTTCTAATCTCTATATCTTTGTAACCCAATGTCGTAGACCTTAGATATTTCAAACTATTAATACTATAGATAAACTAATCTAAGTTTGAAATATCAAAAGTTTGCACCATCAGGTTGTAAAGATATTGGGATCAAAAGATTTGAGTTTGTGACAAAGACTCAATTCCTTATTAAATGATAAGTCTTTGCCACAAACTCTGATTTTCTATTTCCTATGTATTTTCAACCCTATATATGTCGTAGAACTTAGATTTTTCAAATTATGAATTATGATGGATCAAATATCAAAGGTTTACACCTACAGGTTTCAAAGAGAATAAAAAATTTGAGTTGGTGGCAATGACTCAATTCCTGAAAAGGAATAATGAAAAATGAACTTTGATTGTAATATGTAATTTAATTTGCAGGGTTCAGTATATTAAGTTTGGAAGATGGAATTTCTCACATGGTGTTTGGAAACTTTCAGGCCCTTCTCAGACCAGCAGGCGGAGTTTCTAAACTAGAAGTTTATACTTTTTCCCAACAGGTTGGTATTATTCTCTGCAAATACTTGGTTTTCCCAACAGGTTGGTATTATTCTCTGCAAATACTTTGTTTCCCAACAGGTTGGTATTATTCTCTGCAAATACTTGGTTTCTAATTGCTAAAATATTTGAAAAGGTGCATGCCCTATTCACAACAGTACCCTGTAAACATTTCTTTGATCCAAAATGTCGATTTTGTCTACCTTGAAGGCCGAAGGGACTGTAAAGGAAATATGAAAGGGAGTATAGGATGTATCTTGAGAATCTCAGGCGTTGAACGTTACATATAAGACATCTATCTGATGTTTCTGTTTCGAAAAATTGATATAACACTTTGTCAAATTTATACGAAAATTCATATATATGCAATTTTGTATAAAAGTTGTAGTATGAAACAGATCATATTCCACAAATACGAAACCAATCTAAAAAAGGATGATATCCCACAGAAACCTGAGAATCTCAGATTTGCTCCTGTTATAATCATTTAATTTTTATTTTGCATTTTCAAAAGATGTAATTGATAATATTACTACATATAGTCCGTATAGTCCGTATTACGTCACCATAACTTCAGCCAATGGCAGTGCAGTAGCGTGGTCACGTGATTTTGTCTGTATCACGTGACCAGTATACTGCACTCTCATTGGCGGAAGTTATTGTGATGTAATACAAACTTTTAAATAATAATAATAATTATATCTATTAAAAATGCAAAATAGAATTTAAAAATTATAATTAGAGCAAACCTAAGTTTCTAAGATTCTTTGGGATATAATCGTTTTCAGATTGTTTGCGTATTTGCTGAATATGATCTGTTAAAATCTACAACTTTTAAACAAAATTTTATATATATAGATTTTCGTATAATTTTGACACAATTTTATATCTCTTTCTCGAGACATGAACATCAGGTAGATGTCTTATTTGTATCGTTCAACGCCTGAGAGTCTCAGGTTTTATCCTAAACCCCTTTTCATTTTTCCTTTACAGTCCCTTTGAGAAATGTTAAATTCTGAGAATTACCTCCATTTTAAAGGAATCAGTGTGAATCGGACATGACACTCTTTTGTTTAAATGAAGGGTCATTTTAAATACATTTCCATTTGACAAAGCTCAATACTAGAAACACTTGTGTTTACATTACTCCCAGAAACTGCGGTACATTTGTTTTGTAAACAAAGTTATATGACGTGGATTCAAGAAATACCTTTATTGCAGTAATTGATACTCTATATATTTCTATAGGTTTATCTAAAGAATAATTAGACTAGGATCCTGAAAACATCATTTTTCTTCCTTTCCTTGACAACAATATATATTCAATATATAAAATCAACAATATAAATATGAAAGAATTTAGTCATTGCCACAAACTCTGATTTTTTACTCCCTTTATCTTTGCAACCCAACTTTGTAGACCCTAGATATTTCAGAATATGAATTCTGATTGATCAAATAATCAAAGTTTGAAATATCTAAGGTTTACGCCATCTAGTTATAGGTATCATGAAAATTAGGATTTGTGGCAAAGACTCAATTCAAATCAATCCTTTATTTAACTTTACATACATTCTTAACGAAGTGGTTACAAAACGTCGATGATACAAATCGTCGACTCGGTCCAGAAACTATGTTAACCTAACCTAATCCAACCTAATGTAACATTTTAATAGTCGACGTTTTGTAGTATTCGACGTTTTGTATCAGTCGACGTTTTGTATCAGTCGAAGTTTTGTATTATCGACGTTTTGTTACTGGAAGGTTTGATAATCGACATTTTGATAATATACGCTTTGATAGCATACGTTTTGCTTATATACGTTTTGATAACCAACGTTTTGATAATCGACGATATCAATTCAGTTTACATTTTACGCTAGCGTACACACTATGCAGATTACCGGTGTTCTACCTTTTAAAGATACACGCGGATTACTGTGTGAATCGGACACCCCTCTTTAAACATGGTGAGTTATTTGAAATTGCGCCTACACCCCCTTTAATATCATCTTTGATGTCTTGCACCATAGATGTTCGTTTTATCTTCTTTTGAGATATTCCTTGGCGAGTTCTCTTTGTATATCTTTCCATAATAACTGTGAAGTTAACAGAAAACTTTTCTTTAATATAAAATAGGATAAAAAGGGTTCTAGGATTCCAGCTTCTTTATATTCTATATTCTATACTCTGTACAGGTTTCATCTTCAGGATTAGAGATTTCATTTTTAACCCCAACCTCTACTGCTCTTGATAAGTTTGATGACTGAAAAAAATAAGTATTTATATACACCGAAACATGACAGTAGCATGACGATTTGACCATTGTCTTTGATTTTAGATATAATTTACTGCATTTAGTTTGTCAACCTAATTTTAGAAATTAAATTCCAGATATAATAACCAGAAAAATTTGGTCTGCATTTTTTGTGCTTTCAAGAAACTTCTGTCCGCATCAACAACTGCTGAATCATCTCTATCACAACCATAGTAATCTAACCACCCACCCCCCTCCCCATCGACCTACATGGCATGAGAAGATGTTGTTGTGAATCCAACCGTTGCACTTGTTTGATATGTTTGCAAAGCCTAGCATAATCCCAGATTCCAGCCTAGAATAATAATCTCAAGATGAAATAAAAACTTTAAAATCTTTTAAAATATAAGTGAGCTTCACAAAAACAAAAACTCAGTCATTAATTCTATTCTGTAGAACCTGTATCAGTAGGACGGCCCGGGTTAGGTTTACGCCGGAGAACTTTACTCATTTGATATTGTGTAAAACCAATTGATCGAATCATATTCTGATTCCATCAAATTCATCCCGCATTAGATTTGGTTAGGTAGCTTTATGCACAGTTGGTAACCACTTTCCTCTGGGTTCAAACACATTTATATCTTAGGATCTATCCCAAGATGATATTGTTTCCAACATAAGTTTGTATTCAGAACATTAATCATATTTCAGCTAGGTCACTGAACTACTTTTTGCCGGTTCAAAATTGACTCACCGATTCAATTTTAAAGATTTGCATCGTTGATTCAGGATTTGAACCGGTGGTGGATAGTTCAGCGACTTCTTCCATTCATTAATTTCGGTCTCAGGTCCAAAGGAAGAATGCAAAGTAAACCTAGAATAGTACATAGGTTTAACTGGAGATATGTAGTTTACCATTCATATTTAAAATAATAATACCCCCTTTCCCATTTTTATCTAATATTATTTAGGCTGTTGGTAATGTAAGCTGGGATTTAGGAAAAGAGGCTCCAACAACTACAACAACTGTTGCACCTACAACAACAGCAGCTCCACCTAGGTTGCAATCAAACAACAACTTTCATTTCTGAGTTTTTATTTTATTGATTTGTAAAGTTTGGCATTAGAACCATGTGAGGGAAATTGGCAGAATTGATCTCAAAACAGAAAACGATGATATCTCATTCATTGTTACTTAATTATTATGGTCTGAATGTGACGATGTAAAACTGTCATTGATTATCATCCATACTTTTATTCTTTATTTCTTCACCCTGTATTTTTATACCCCACTTTCTGTAATAACCCATTATTCTCTGCAAATACTTGGTTTCTAATTGCTAAAATATTTGAAAAGGTGCATNCTACACTCTACACTCTACACTCTACACTCTACACTCTACACTCTACACTCTACACTCTACACTCTACACTCTACACTCTACACTCTACACTCTACACTCTACACTCTACACTCTACACTCTACACTCTACACTCTACACTCTACACTCTACACTCTACACTCTACACTCTACACTCTACACTCTACACTCTACACTCTACACTCTACACTCTACACTCTACACTCTACACTCTACACTCTACACTCTACACTCTACACTCTACACTCTACACTCTACACTCTACACTCTACACTCTACACTCTACACTCTACACTCTACACTCTACACTCTACACTCTACACTCTACACTCTACACTCTACACTCTACACTCTACACTCTACACTCTACACTCTACACTCTACACTCTACACTCTACACTCTACACTCTACACTCTACACTCTACACTCTACACTCTACACTCTACACTCTGCACTCTACACCTTGTTGTAATACCTAAACAGACATGTATAAAAAAAACCCCTTGCTGCAGACTTGCATAACAAAGTCTAAAAGAATACCAAAGCCTATTTATCCTTCAAACTAAATTATCTAATTATAGTAATTACTACAAAGTTAGCGTCACAAAAAGATTAATGATACTTAATTAGCCTTATCAGCCTTCATTAAAAATGTATTGCGATTTGCGACGATGCAAGAAGTCCTGTAAACTAATTAAATATTAAAGGTTTATCTATAGTTTTTAAAATATTTGTGGAGATAAAAATAGAATTTTTGCTTTCTGATAAAACTTGTTCTTGGGTTCATAGCACTTGNGTGTAGAGTGTAAAAAAAATCTAATTTTATAGCCTATATCACCCGTTTACGGTACCCCTGAGTTTCCTCAAAAAACGTCAGCCAATTTGGTCCAACTGTTAGGTTAGCTATAGCTAACATATAAATGTATATAGGTATGAGCAAAGAGCTTTATTATAAAGATTTAGATCAACTAGTCCCAACAATTCTTATTCGTCACAAAAAAAAAGGATAAGTGGATTCTCTTTGTTCATTTATTCATTTCATTTAGCATTAACATATTTAATTCCTTTGAGTCAATTTTCTTTAATTTTTCATGCATACATTCCGGTAATAGCATTAATTGGTTAATTGCAGTATAATTTCTGTGGTATGGAATGTTGTCTACAACACTTGACATCATACTTCCAATTGTAGACAATAATAACATGGTTAATTTCTGCCCCTAATATCAATCAATCAATATTTGGGATGGAATTATAAGAACCCCTGTGCTTTCTCATACTTGAGCGTAAAATTAAAACTAGAGGAGCTACAAAGTCATCAAGCCGTACTTGTATAATGTCACATACATTGTACCTTCGTTCTCATTCTGTCTATCTCGGTGTAAGGGAAAGCTTAGTGTTTACATTTTTATAGTTTTACACAATTCTTATTTACACTTTTTCTTAAAAACTTTTTTCTGCAAACTTGCTGACAGGCCGACACTTATAATTAAACCAAGGAACAAAGTGAATTAAAAAAAAAAATCTTTTATTTCTAAAACAAAACAAAAAAGGTTTTGATGTTTTGGCTCCATACAATTGTTAGCGGGTTATAAAATAATATAAAAAGAATCCACGAAACTGTTTAGTATTGGAAACCCATAGAATTTCAATTTAGACATTATTTATTTAAACAGAGCTAAAGTCAAAATAATTCTAGATCGTAGGTGCCATATATGAATTTAACCTATTTAGCTCGAAAAGTTATTTTATTGGAAGTTTTTCGGCAAAATGATACTTTAAAGCTCCCTCATGATACATTAAATATAAAAAGTCCGTCATGATACAATAATAAATCTAAGGAACTCTCATGAGAAAATAAATCAAAAGCTACCTCATGATACAATAAATCTAAAGCTCCCTTATGATACAATAAATCTAAAGCTCCCTCATGATATAATAAATCTAAGGAACTCTCATGAGAAAATAAATCAAAAGCTACCTCATGATACAATAAATCTAAAGCTCCCTTATGATACAATAAACCTAAAGCTTCCTCATGATATAATAAATCTAAGGAACTCTCCTGAGAAAATAAATCAAAAGCTACCTCATGATACAATAAATCTAAAGCTCCCTCATGATACAATAAATCTAAAGCTCCCTCATGATACAATAAATCTAAAGCTCCCTCATGATACAATAAATCTTAAACACCCTCACGATACAATAAATCTAAAGCACCCTCATGATACAATAAATCTAAAGCTCCCTCATGATACAATAAATCTAAAGCTCCCTCATGATACAATAAATCTAAAGCTCCCTCATGATACAATAAATCTTAAACACCCTCACGATACAATAAATCTAAAGCACCCTCATGATACAATAAATATAAAGCTCCCTCATGATACAATAAATCTTAAGCACCCTCATGATACAATAAATTTAAGGAACTCTCATGATAAAATAAATCAAAAGCTCCCTCATGATACAATAAATCTAAAGCTCCCTCATGATACAATAAATCTAAAGCTCCCTCATGATACAATAAATCTAAAGCTCCCTCATGATATAATAAATCTAAGGAACTCTCCTGAGAAAATAAATCAAAAGCTACCTACAATAAATCTAAAGCTCCCTCATGATACAATAAATCTAAAGCTCCCTCATGATACAATAAATCTAAAGCTCCCTCATGATACAATAAATCTAAAACACCCTCACGATACAATAAATCTAAAGCACCCTCATGATACAATAAATATAAAGCTCCCTCATGATACAATAAATCTTAAGCACCCTCATGCTACAATAAATCTAAACCACCCTCATGATACAATAAATCTTAAGCACCCTCATGCTACAATAAATATAAAGCACCCTCAGGATACATAATTCTAAAGCTCCCTCATGATACAAAAAATCTAAAGCTTTCTCAAGATACCTGATAGGGACTGAAAACGTTATTTCAAGTAACCCTCCATTTAAAGCGTGACATGATTCATATATCTTGTGAATTTATTTTTAGTTTTAAACTAGTACTCGTATAATTCCAATTCATTCTTCAGGTCTTTGCTAATCTGAATTCAAACAAATAAAGATTTAAAAAAATATTCATTTAACTAAGTGGAAATTAACCTCCACGAAATGTCATTTTAATCATATCTAAATTCATTAAACTAACTAAACTAACAAGAATTCTTTTGTTTCAATCTAGTCGAAACGAATAAGATTATATCTTGCCGACAAGTCTGCCAGATGACAGATAATAAGGACAGAGGATGTGTCAAGGTAATTTGGAAAGGAGGTCAAAATTGGGAGATTGAGATCACAATAGGGAGATTGGGGTTCAAATTGGGAGATTGGAATCATAATAGGAAAATTGGGGTCAAAATAGGGAGAATGGGATCAAAATTGGAAGATTGGGGTCAGAATTTGAAGACTGGGGTAAAAATTCGGAAATTGGGGTCAAAATTGGAAGATTTTGTTTTCATAAATGGAAAATTGGTTTAAAAATTGTGAAAGGGTGATTAAATTTGGGAAGGAGGTCGAGAGTGTGATCAAAATTGGAAGACACATTTGTATTGATTGATAGAATTTGAGAGGAATTAAATTCTTAATGAAAATGAATATGAATATATATGAATTTTGAAAAATAATAGAATAAACACTTTCTCAGGATTTTTAGAAATAATTGGTTACGCAGATTTTTTTTCAATATTCCAAAAAATATTTAGATTTTTTTTTAAGAAAACAGTGATACACGCTTCACAGCTTTTTAAATGCCCAGGTTAATAGACAATTCAATTTGACATTAACATTTTAGCGTTATAATCTAGATTTTTCTATTTCATACGTTTTCATAATATACTTAAATCAGGTTTTACTTCAAATTAAAATTTTCATGTTAAGGAATTGAGTGTTTGCCACTAACTCTCATTTTTTAATCCCTATATATTTGTAACCCAGTGTCGAAGATCTTGGATTTTTCAAACTATGAATTCTGGCAGAAAAAAATCTAAGTTTATTGATGAAGATTTAAACCATCAAGTAAGAAAATTTAATCTTCTATCATGACTCAATATCTTTGAACTTTTTCTTAATATGTCTGGATATATGGTTTTCTGCATTAATGTGAGTTTTCCAAAAAATTGTTTCTAGGATTTGCAGTGTTGAATTAAAAGGACAAATTATGACAAGAGCTAAGTAGGATTAATCTTCCCAAATTTACATTTCAAAATTTCCATTTTTCATTTAAACCATTTTGAAAAATTCTGGTGTTTACCTACCGTTGGGTTATTCTTTTATGTTTACAGAGCTGGGAGCTTTAATATGGTGGATATAGAGATCAATGCTTGATCATCTCTTTTTCATAATCTCGAGACTAACCTAATCTTGTACTTGTATTCTCTGAAAAGTGCATAAAATTCAACCAATCAGAGTCACGTTTCAGAAGCCGGGAAACTTGAAATTTTGCGCGCCATTTAAGATTAATATTTTAATCTAATTTTAAAAAACCGGTTTTTGATTTTTCTGTACTATATCCAAAAAAAGTGGATCAAGCAGGAAATTAAAAGTGTCCACATTGGATATTCGGATTAAGCAGTTGGGATTAAAGGTATCCCATTCTAAAGTTCCAAGCTCTAAGCTGAAAACTTTAGAATGAGATATCCGCAATCCCGATTATTTAATCTGAGTATCCAATGGACACACTTTTGATTTTCTTCTTAAACCACTCTTTTTTGGATTAAGTAGAGAAAAATCAAAAACCGGTTTTTCAAAATTAGAGAGTACCTCCCATTTCATATTAATCTTAAATGGCGCGCAAAATTTCAAATTTGTCAGCTTCTTATACGCGACTCTGATTGGTTGAATTATATATGCGCACCTTAAACAGATCAAGGGGCATTTTAAATTACTGATTATTGATTAATAATGTTTATTTTATAAAATGTAAAAATTCTAATATTTACTACTAACTATCGCCCTTGAAGTTAAGTTAAGTTAAGTTAAGTTAAGTTAAGTTAAGTTAAGTTAAGTTAAGTTAAGTTAAGTTAAGTTAAGTTAAGTTAAGTCCGATCAGAACTATGGATATAAATGAAACTGAGTCGTTTCTCTGCTAAAAGTTCGATGCATCACTTATTCAGAAAATATTGGAAATATCTTTAATAATTTGCAATATTCATGTCGAAACTAGAGATTTCAGATCAGCTGATCTGTTTTATTAAAAACATGTTATTTTCTATCAAGATTTTTGCACTGCATCAATTCACACAGAGATATTGAAGATATATTATTTTTTTATAGAAAAATAGAAATAGGTGACTGCAGTGCTCAGTGTACTTTTTCCTCTTATTATCAGCTGCAATATTTATATGCAATATTTTCAACAATAAGGACGCCAAGTAAGGACGCACATTCAGCCTCCGCATCACTGAGTACGCAAGAAACATAAGTATATATATAAATACATATTCTAAAAAATAAAGATCTTCCCTCATATACATATATATATTTATATATTTATGTGTTAGCTATAGCTGGCCAAACGGTTTTATCAAATGGGCTGAAACTTTTTGAGGAAAATCATTTCAAATGTTTCTAAAATTCCACGGGCAACGTCTGGCACCTAGATATTTGTAACTTTGTATGATAAACTGTAATTATACATTTTAGATGATAAGTTATGATTGGTACTAGCTAGTTCTAAACTACCTTTTCTGCAATTAGCGAGTAACAAAGCTTATTTTAAAATTATTTAGTTACAAAGCTTATTTCAAAAAGTAAAAATGTATTGCCGTTTAAGAATATTTTTTTTTTTGTCTCTAGAATAACATTGTAAAAAAACTTGTTTTTTATAAATACCAAAAATGTATACGTTTTTCACTCTACATTGTAAAATATAAAAGTTTTGTGAACACAAAGTCGTCCGATATTTAAATGAAGTTTTGATGGAAAATTTGAGAATAAGAATTGAGACAAGATCATTTAATTAGGAAATAGTTCATCGTCATAAAATAGCGTATTTTCTGTTCAAAGTATCCAGGAATCTATTTTCTTGATTACAGAGTTATTTCTTGGAATTTCTGCTGACTTGGAAACCCATGAAAACACAACTCCGAAATGTTTTTTACTATTTAATGGAATTAGAATTCTAGTGCGCTTCGCACCTCACTATCATGAATAATTTGTTTTTTCCCCCTTTTTCTTAGCATTTAACATTTTGTAGCTTTTGACAATTTGTAACTTTAAACATTTTGTACCATTCAACGTTTTATACAATTCAACGTTTTGTACAATTCAACGTTTTGTGCCATTCAATGTTTTGTACCATTCAACCTTTTGTACCATTCAACTTTTTGTAACATTCAACGTTTTATACAATTCATTGTTATGTAACAATCAACGTTTTGTACCATTCAACGTTTTCTAACATTAGACGTTTTGTACCATTCAACATTTTTTATCATTAGAAGTTTTGTACCATTCAACGTTTTGTAACATTCAACGTTTTGAACCATTCAACATTTTTTATCATTAGAAGTTTTGTACCATTCAACAATTTGTAACAATCAACGTTTTGTACCATTCAACATTTTGTATCATTAGAAGTTTTGTAACATTCAACGTTTTGTACCATTCAACATTTTGTACCATTCAACATTTTGTACCATTCAACATTTTGTACCATTCAACATTTTGTACCATTCAACATTTTGTACCATTCAACGTTTTGTACCTTTTAACGTGTTGTACCATTCAACGTTTTGTACCTTTTAACGTTTTGTACCATTCAACGTTTTGTACCATTCAACGTTTAGTGCTATCCAACATGTTGTACCATCCAACATTTTGTACCATTCAGCGTTTTGTAACAATAGACTTTTTTCACCATTCAACATTTTTTACCATTCAACCTTTTGTACCATTCAACGTTTTGTGCCATTCAACATTTTGCGCCATTTAACGTTTTTTACCATTCAACGTTTTTTACCATTCAAAGTTTTGTACCAATCAATGTTTTGTAACATTAGACATTTTGTACCATTCAACGTTTTGTACCATTCGACGTTTTGTAACATTAGTTTGTAGCATCTAACGTTTTGTACCATTAACATTTTGTAACATTAGACGTTTTGTACCATTAAACATTTTGTAACTTTGGACTTTTTGTACCATTCAACGTTTTGTACCATTCAATGTTTTGTACCTTTTAATGTTTTGTACCATTCAACGTTTTGTACCATTAGATGTTTTGTACCGTTAAACATTTTGTAACATTGAACGTTATGTACCATTCAACGATTTGTACCATTCAACGTTTTGTACCATTCAACGTTTTGTACCATTCAACGGTTTGTACCATTCAACGTTTTGTAACATTAGTTTGTACCATTCAACGTTTTTTAACATTAGCTTGTACCATAAACGTTTTGTACCATAAAACATTTTGTAACATTAGAGGTTTTGTATAACCTTTTTTTATTTGACGTTATTTACGTTTGTGTTTTCGACGTTACTATCTATTTTAAAACATTTTGTTTTCTATGTTATTATCAATTTGAAAATATTTTGTTTTCTATGTTGTTATCAATTTGAAAACATTTTTATTTCTATTTTATTATCAATTTAAAAAATAAATTTGTTTATCGATTTTAAAACATTTTGTTTTCTACGTTATTATCAATTTGAAAACATTGAGCAGTTTTCATTCATTTTCTAAAATATATTAAAAACAGTAAAACTCAACGTTTTAAACCATGAAAATATCTTTGAAAGGGCACATTTTTAATCCTCAGTTTGAAATCAAAGAAATCAACAAAAAATATTCTTTGAAACCTACAAAATAACCCCCCCCCCCCTTTGTAAAAGTGTGATTAAAGGAAACTCAAAAAAAATTTATTATAAAAATATTTCTTAAATAATCTATTTAGTTCATATTCTTTTAAAGGGCATATATATATATTTTTTTACAGGTTTGAAAAAATGAAATTCATTTATGTTACAAATTGAGTTCATTTTATTTATAGCAAAGGACAATAAAGCAATGAAAAAATTTGAATTAATACTGATTTACTTTTTCTTATTGCAAAAGAACGAATCATTGTTTGAATATTATTTTATTCAAATTGTAATGGTTGCGCTGTGAATATAAAACTAAGAATTCGCATCAGTTTTATGCAAAATTAAACACTTGCATTATGCTTACACAAGTTCTTCAACTTTTTATGCAGTGAAGAAATTCTAAATAAAAATTTTCTAACTTTTCTTTATTTTTGCGCTGAATGAAGAAAAGATTCACCTGGTTTCACCTAGTTTCTCCTAGTTTCTCCTGGTTTCTTTTATTTTCTCATAGTTTCTCCTGGTTTCAACTAGTTTCTCTGAGTTTCTCCAAAATTCTCCTAGTTTCTCCTAAATTCTCCTAGTTTCTCCTAGTTTCTCCTGGTTTCTTTTAATTTCTCCTAGTTTCTCCTAGTTACACCTAATTTCTCCTGGTTTCACCTAGTTTCTCCTAGTTTCTCCTAAATTCTCCTAGTTTCTCCTAGTTTCTCCTGGTTTCTTTTAATTTCTTCTAGTTTCTCCTAGTTACGCCTAATTTCTCCTGGTTTCACCTAGTTTCTCCTAGTTTCTCCTAATTTCTCCTAGTTTCTCCTAGTTTCTCCTAGTTTCTCCTAGTTTCCTAGTTTCTCCTAGTTTCTCCTAAATTCTCCTGGTTTCTTTTAATTTCTTCTAGTTTCTCCTAGTTACGTCTAATTTCTCCTGGTTTCACCTAGTTTCTCCTAAATTCTCCTAGTTTCTCCTAGTTTCTCCTGGTTTCTTGTAATTACTTCTAGTTTCTCCTAGTTACGCCTAATTTCTCCTGGTTTCACCTAGTTTCTCCTAGTTTCTCCTAATTTCTCCTAGTTTCTCCTAGTTTCTCCTAGTTTCTCCTAGTTGCTCCTAGTTTCTTCTAGTTTCCAAATTCTTTTTAGTTTCTCCTAGTTTCTTCTAGTTTCTCCTGGTTTCTTCTAGTTTCTCCTAGTTGCTCCTTGTTTCTTTTAGTTCCCAAGTTCTTTTTAGTTTCTCCTAGTTTCTCCTGGGTTCTTTTACCTAGTTGCTCCTGGTTTCTCCTAGTTTCCAAATTCTTTTTAGTTTCTCCTAATTTCTTCTAATTTCTCCTGGTTTCTTCTAGTTTCTCCTAGTTGCTCCTTGTTTCTTTTAGTTTCCAAGTTCTTTAGTGGGGTGGCGTGGAGAGTGTGTGACACCAGTTCTCGTTAGATCACTGAAGTTAAGCACACTTGTCCACAGCCAGTAACTGGATTGGTGTCCAGACTGGTGTTCACGGGTTCGATTCCCGTACTCCACGCAAACATGTGGTTTCAAAAACATCTGAAGCCGACATCTGTTTAGCAGTTATGACCACCTGACGGATGTAGGAGGACAGAGGGGCGGCTGTCAACAACTTTCGCAGCGAAAGGGTGCGTGCTTTCTGCTCAACAAGAAAGAAGCTTCAAGTGGGATTGATCCAAGTGAATGACGATGAAGAGAGGAATGGTGGACAAGCAGGGAGAGTCTATGCCAGCTATAGGTACCTGGGGGTATCCAATCCGGGCTTACAGATGTTAGGGAGCAATGAGTGTGATGTTTCCTATCAGTACGGCACCCGGGCCTCATTCCAGTATATCAGAAGGATTCCTGCACTCTATATTCTCAGGCCTAAGAAGAATCTTAGGCAGCTGGAATCTTGTCAACCCTCTTCTCAGAATGAATGAAGCGTGGATGGATGAATGTGCTGCCAGATTACAACCCCTGGTAGATCAATATAAAAACCCAGACAACACCAAACTTTCGCAATAGAAAAAATTCCGAGATTTGATCGTAACAACCCGATCATGTCCTGGGGACAAAAAAAATCTCTATTAAAAAAAGTTTCCAAGTTCTTTTTAGTTTCTCCTAGTTGCTCCTAGTTTCTCCTAGTTTTTCCTAGTTGCTCCTTGTTTCTTTTAGTTTCCAAGTTCTTTTTAGTTTCTCCTAATTCTTCTAGTTCTCTTGATTCTCCTTGTTCAGTTCTCCTAGTTCTCCTAGTTCTCCTAGTTATTTTAATTCTCCTAGTTCTCCTAGTTCTCCTAGTTATTTTAATTCTCCTAGTTCTCCTAGTTCTCCTTGTTCTTTATTCTATTCTCCATGTATACTACTGGTTTTTCTGGCCTGATATCTAATTCAATAATATTGTGAAACGGCGTCATAAAAAGTAGTATTACCTCTGGAAATGATTATGGAAGGATTTCTCTTCAACCCTCTATTATTCTATTCTATTGAACCTACAACCTATCCCACATCATACTTACATCATACACTGTTCAGTAAGAAGAGGAAGAACTTGGTTATTTGTATATTATGCAGAGTACCCCATACATACTCTTTAGGAAACAACCGACAAGATAAATAATCCCTCAAAATAGGGAGATGAAAAAGTTCTGAACGATGGGTTGTATTCGTTGGAAATCATTGGTCAGCATTATGTACAGGGTGCTCCACGAAACATGGCTTGATTTTTAGTATTTGATCTTTTCAATAACTTGCAGCATTTACTCATCAAATAAATTTTAGAAGTAAAATTCTAAATTAATAATAGCAAATTACTCCTGGTCCTGCCATTTCGAAATGTGTTCTGCCTTACTTAGTGCTTTCTAACTTATCTGAGATATTAATAATTTGTTCAGATTTCGATAATTTTGGTTGTATAAAACAAATTAAAATCTTATCAAAATTCTTAAAATCCCCGATTTTATTGAAAGCATCGAACTGCAGACCATAGTTTATTCAATGCCTGGATTAGGTGAATTTGTGATTATTGCATGTTTTAAGAATAATAGTACACAAGTACCAAGTCCACAAAACACTAGGTTCACCAGACAGGCTGGTACGAGTTAAGGTGTAAGTAGAGGATCATACTATACTGGTAAATCCTCGTACTGGTTTGGATTATACAACGATAGAACCCACGTAACTAAAGTAGGCTGACAACTGAATGCCGCATATCAATTTTAAAATAAAAGACGACCTACAACAACAACATTCATCTCAACGTACAAAAACAACATTCATCTTAACCTACAACAACAACATTCATCTCAACATACAACAACATTCATCTCAACCTATAACAACAACATTCATCTCAACCTACAACAACATTCATCTCAACCTACAACAACAACATTCATCTCAACGTACAAAAACAACATTCATCTCAACCTACAACAACAACATTCATCTCAACGTACAAAAACAACATTCATCTCAACCTACAACAACAAAATCCATATCAACGTGCAAAAACTAAATTTATCTCAACCTACAACAACAACATTAATCTCAACCTACAACAGCAAAAACATTAATCTCAACCTACAACAACAAATATATCTCAACCTACAACAACAACATTAATCCCAACATACAACAACATTCATCTAAACCTACAACAACAACATTCATCTCAACCTACATCAGTAACATTCATCTCAACCTACAACAACAACATTCATCTTAATCTACAACACCAACATTCAATTCAAGTCATCTTTCAATTGTCCACGGTTCGTTTGTTGAATAAAAATTTATCACAGTTTTTCTCTTTATTTTTACGGGTAATACTTGTGTGTCTTAAATCTGTTATTACCTTTCCCTTAGACAGCTAAACCATTTACGCAGGATATCTCATCTTTCCCAGATTTAAGGAGTTAAATTTAAATTTAAAGTTTGTCCCTGGATAGCTGTTGAAGCTTAGCGCTATCCAAAACATAAGTTTTGCCCTCCGAGCTTTTAGTTTTCATCACAGGATGTATTGTCTGTTTCTTTTTAAAAGCTAATAAGCAAAAACATCTTTTTTTTAGTTGGAAATTATATGACGCAGAAATTTTGAATAAAACATCATAAAAAACGTCAAGCTCAAGCACTTTTTGTATCAATTTTGTTTCATATTCAAAGCTTGCCTTGTACTGTGTGGGTCGGATCTATCTTTTCTGTCTTCTATCATTTATTATTTTATTAAATTCAACCTAGAAAGAAGAGTAATATATATAAATATATATAGATAGATACATTACTCTAAGATATTAAATTCATCCATGTTGTTTCTCTTGAAGGGGAAAGAAAACATTATAAGATTATCTTCCCAAATATATTACAGTTCGATCTGTTAAAACTTATGACAGTGGTTCTTTGGTCTTTCCTATTGCAATTGGCTAAAAATATTTCGCTTCTGATAAGTTACAAAATTATCAATTTGATAAAATTGTCGTAAAATCATTCAACAAATTCTTTTAGATTTTGATGATTACTTCAGAAATGACTATATATATATAAATACTTTAATCAAGAATGAAATAAAAACTTTAAAGAATGTTCAGGGCGTAACGAACTTTTATGATGATATTTTAATATGCATGGAGACAAACTTTCGACAGTGAAAACAAACATTGATATTTTACGTATTTAAGTGTAATAAATACAAGTTTTTTAGTACAGACGGATCTAAATAACGTATCTTCTTATAGGTTCTGCATTTTCTGACATATTTAATTATTATTTCATTATGATTTCAAAACATGCAATCTTTCCTGTTAATTACCATATTATCTGTTCACGTAAATTCATTTTAAGTTCTAAAATTTTCATTTTTCATTTATAAACACAAAGTTTTACAAAAAGTATTATTATTAAAAACAATGACAAACAAATTTGAAGTTTAATTAACGTGTTCCATTTTACAAAGAAAACTTTTAGCAAAGTCATTCAGATAAGTGCAGTAGGTAGTATGTTTATGGGATCTAGCGACAACATTTTATGTTATTGTTGTAGGTTGAAATTAATGTTGTTGTTGTAGGTTGAGATGAATGTTGTTGTTGTAGGTTGAGATGAATGTTGTTGTTGTAGGTTGAAATTAATGTTGTTGTTGTAGGTTGAGATAAATTTTGTTGTTGTAGGTTGAGCTGAATGTTGAGAAGATCCCAACAACGACTGTTTGTAATACAACTGGTTTATCTAAACTTGAATATCTCAGGTATTTAAAAAGACTGTTTATGAGATTTTAGTCGATTAATTGCTGATTAAATCGAGAAATTGATATGAACCGTATTTCAGTATAGAACAATGCTTGTACGAATAAAAATGAGTTTGAATTGAACTTAAACTAGATTTTATTAAAAAGATACTATTGCATTTTCCAACAGAGATCCAGACATCTGTCAGACTTGTGCATTAGTATACAACACAGGGTTGTCTTGAAAGTGATACATCGCCTTATCATTTGGTTTCGACTTGCAAACTCACATATACTAATTTCATGCCCTGACATGTACAATCTAGATCTAAAACAAGCTTGTTTCTAGTTTCAGTTTGAAAGGATTAGATCTACAACTAGCTTGTTTCTAGTTTCAGTTTGAAAGGAGTAGATCTACAACCAGCTTGTTTCTAGTTTCAGTTTGAAAGGAGTAGATCTACAACAAGCTTGTTTCTAGTTTCAGTTTTGAAAGGAGTAGATCTACAACCAGCTTGTTTCTAGTTTCAGTTTGAAAGGAGTAGATCTACAACAAGCTTATTTCTAGTTTCAGTTTGAAAGGAGTAGATCTACAAAGAGCTTATTTCTAGTTTCAGTTTGAAAGGAGTAGATCTACAAAGTACTTGTTTCTTGTTTCAGTTTGAACGAAGTAGATCTACAACAAGCTTGTTTCTAGTTTCAGTTTGAAAGGAGTATATCTACAACAAGCTTATTTCTAGTTTCAGGTTGAAAGGAGTAGATCAACAACAAGCTTGTTTCTAGTTTCAGTTTGAAAGGAGTAGATCAACATCAAGCTTATTCCTAGTTTCAGTTTGAAAGGAGTAGATCTACAACCAGCTTATTTATAGTTTCAGTTTGAAAGGAGTAGATCTACATCAAGCTTGTTTCTAGTTTCAGTTTGAACAGAGTAGATCTACAACCAGCTTATTTCTAGTTTCAGTTTGAAAGGAGTAGATCTACATCAAGCTTGTTTCTAGTTTCAGTTTGAAAGGAGTATATCTACAACCAGCTTGTTTCTAGTTTCAGTTTGAAAGGAGTAGATCTACAACCAGCTTATTTCTAGTTTCAGTTTGAAAAGAGTAGATCTGCAACAAGCTTATTTCTAGTTTCAGTTTGAATGGAGTAGCACAATGCATATTATAAAATACTGTGATTTGAATTTTCAGTGACGACATAAATCTCCAAACACAGTTTAAGCTATATTGTATGTTTATTACAAAGGGCTAGAAAAAAAGTATAAAAGATTGTTTTTGAAAATGGACTAATTAAAACAGACAAAAATACGGAAATCTCGCAAAAATGACAAAATGGCGACTGTTCCAAATAAAAAAAATTAGAAATTAAAATTTTACACCTGAGGGTTTAAAGTTTTAGAAATATATCTCAAGGGTGTCTACTCGGCCTGTTTGCAACACAACCTGGAGTTGCAAAAGTTCAAACTTTATTTCAACGTTGAATTTAAATTAGTATTGTTCAACATGTTCCAACTTATGCAATATGCAGCCTTTGTTTTGAAAAGGAGTGTAAAAGTGTAAAAATACAAAGAATAATTTGCAATACTAGGCCTTTAGGGTGCTTCGCGCCCTCTTTAATATTAACAATTATAGCTTTTAACAGATGCTGTAAAATCCGTCATTTCTATTTAATCTCGGATTTCCATAGCTTGTTTATGTTTAAATTTGGAGCATTTTCAAAAATAATAAATGTCTGTCCAGAAATTTTCCATAAACGAAATTTGGGCCCGATCGGTTCATCCGTTTTTATCATTCAGATATTACAACCTATAGTCATCGATTATCTTTCACCACATTTGTATATATTAGATATTTCATACTAGTTTTGATTTTGTTTTTTAAAATAATGTTTAGCTTACAACTTGTTTTCGAACATTCCTGGAAAATATTAAAATGTCGTCTTCATTGCCAAAAATCCTCGAAACAGGAATAAATGTTTTTATAAGTAACTCTCAGATCATAACAATTAAAACATATTATGAAAAATCAACTATATATAAATGTGGCGAAAGATAATCAATGACTATAGGTTGTAATATCTGAATGATTTGTTTGATATTAAATTGATTTTTTTACAGTCTAAGTCGTATGTTGCAATTTTCTCAATTTGTATGTACGCCATGTTATTCGGTATGAGACGTCTTCAACAATTTTCTCCTTATAGACGCAACAGATAGAAGTAAGATTAGTGGTGATCAAAAGCGCTTTTTTATCGCATTAAGCCTATTTCCCCTTTCATTTTTCGCGAACACTCCCTTTAACATTTACATTTTTAGTTGGATATTGGGTTATTTATAATTTATGGAGCTAAACAGGGTATTATTCTTGTCAATGGTTTTTTTTAACTATTCAAAATTCAAATTCTGATTCAAAGTTACTTAAATTTACTGAAACAGAAAACAGACAAATCCACAATAACTTGTTTTTATTGGAGAAGGATGAAACATCTGTGACTTAAAATGAAACAGTTATAATTTATAAAGCTGAAATTGTTACTAGAAGCTAGGGGTGCAGGAAACGCTTAAAAAGTTTAATAAGTACATAATCATAGATATATGAATACTTTATAGTTGGAATGGAAAATTCGCTAATTCAGACTTTTGAGACGGTATATGGAGATATTTGTGCAGAATTTAATCAAAAATTACTCATCTTATACATATGATTAAAGTACATATTTGTAAATAAAATCTATAGTCGTTTTTTCTAAACTCCTACACTCTAATGTCAAAGAAAACCAATTTCAGTTCTGCCCAAATACCGGAAGAAATTACCTCGAAAAAGGAAGATAGGAAAAGTGTTCATAAAACTGGTGTTCAGTATTTACAATATTATATACAAAGCTAGATATGGGGCAGGTTCGGTAAATTAAATAAAGTTAGTTGTTAAAATCAGAGGCGTAGTCAGTAATTTTTCCAAGAGGCTTACATTTTTTTTTCCAGGGGGGGGGG